AAACTACTCATTCCTTTTCTCTCAGTTAGGCTGGGACTGCTTTTCTTGTAACCCTATGGCAAGCTAGAGCCAAGTTGGGAAGCTCATCTAAATTGAAACCCAATCATAATACGTAATTATAATAAATATGTGTTTAAATAATTAGAATAAATACATGTTTCAGCAGACAAAATGATGTTTTGTTTTCCTGTGTTTTTTAATTTTTCCCCTCTTTCTGTTGGTTGAGAATTTTCTTCCCTGAGACTACGAAGGATTGCGGAAGTTTCTGTGCTTCTGACCGCTCTAGAAATGATGCCTCTAATTTGATTGTATGTTTGGATCATCAGTATGTTTGATGTTTCTGTATGTAGTCTGTATGTAGGAAGGTATGGTCACAGAGAAGTTCTTTTAATGCAGGTATGTGAGTTCTTGGGGAAATATTTCTGTGCAATTTAGTCAAAGATTATCAGTGTGTTACTAATTAAGATGTTCAGAAAAGTGTGAGTTCAAAATTGTCATTTCATGTGTGAAATGAGGAAGGTTCAGTGCAGGATCAATCCCAGATTATATTAGAATGTGACAGCAAGAATTGTCATGCCTGTAATGTATATAGTAATTTTATCGTTTAAGTTTGGAAGGAGACTAAGAAAAAAAGTAAGTAATGCAGATAGAGGAAAAAATGGTTTAAAAGTATGTAGAATGCCCTCCGTCACTGTTAAGAATGTGTTAATGTTCCTTGTGTTAGTCTTGAGTTAGTCTCCCATTATCTCAGTGTATGGAGAAATTGCTCTTTCTTAAAAGAAAAGAACTGCTTTCAATTATAAAGATGTAAAATCTGTGTCATCCTGATACTGACCCTGGCCTGTGAATTGACTTTCCTGCCTTCCCCTCTGACCTGCTCCATCATCACGAGCTTGCCTCGTCATCCAGGCTCTTGGATGAACGTCCCAGCCCTAGTGCTCCCTGCTCACATCCCTTGGGGTTGGTGGGGCGGGTCCTGGCTGATGGGACCCCTGCCTTGCCCCAGCCACGTTGCTCTGCTCTGCTCCTGGCTCCCCTTCCCGGTGGGAGCAGCACAGGCTGCTCCTTTGCAGCCGTAACTGTAGCTTCCATCTGAAGCTTCACCTTGGTTTGCGTCCAGATCTAGAAGCTAGTCAATCTCCGAGAGCCTGTTTCTCCTCATTGTGTCTAGCTGTAATTCACTCTCTTGGGATGGTGTGGTTTATAACCATTTCATACATAAGTCATTATTTTGGCTCAGTGTGTCATGTAACTTGTATATAAAAGGAGTAAAAGGATGGTCTGTGGCAAGAACAACAGCAGATGGGAAAGTTCTTTGTTTAAATCATCAGCAATTCTAAACTAAAGTTTGCCAATGATTTGTTCTGTAGAGTAGTTGTTGTGAAAATTACACAGCGTAGGCTTGCACTAATTAACACTTTTCAATGAATATCTGTGTATCTTAAAGTCAAGTTTGTGTTGGTAAAGATACCATCTCTTTAGAAACAGATGGCATAAGTAGTTCCTTTTGGGTGTACAAAGGGTGAACCTGGTTGTGTACCTCTTCAGTGGCTCTCAACAGTAATTGCCAATGAAAATCTGTATCAGTTAAAAAGATTTAAATCTAGTTACCTGATTATGTAGAATTTGGGTGGATACCTGTGCTGAAACAAGAAGAAAATTTAGTCTAAATAGGTGATGAGTTTATGTGGCTTGGTGTAAAGGTGATTATTCTCTGTGCAGATGACATACCATGTGCTCTTTGGCTTACATGTTGGTTCTGTGCTATTTCACAAAAGCAATCCAATACAGCGCTCGGTTGGTATAAAGTTGTATAGCTGGTATTTGGGAATTTGGGGATGGTGGTAATGAGAATTTGCTGTAGCTTATGTTCAAATTTCAAAGTGCCAGGAGTACATAGCCCCTAAGACAGTGGGCACTGGTGAAAAGCTGTTCAACACCTTTTGAACCAGCAAGAGACACATATTCCATGTTTGGTTTTGGTGGAGGTATTATGTTGATCTGCTACATAAAAGCTTCTGTAGCTTTTTGCAGATTAACTCTTTGGTAAATGAGAAACAAAATCTTTGCTAGTGTATTTCTTTTTATATAAGCTTGCAGAATGATGCTAGCATTTTTGAAGATTTGGTTGAAGCACAAAGAGAAATGTAAGTTCCTAAACCAAGTAGCTTGCACTGATACTTTCTGTCTGCTTCTGCAGATATTATCTTTGGTATCGTTGCTTTTATTTATTTATTTATAAATTTATTTTCTTTCTGGAGTTGTAAAATCATGGATCCCACACAGTAATAAAATTAAGAAACCCAAATTATACTGTTTGTGTAGAAGTCTGTTAATTACACAGTATGTTTCTTCCTTGATAAGACACTTAAGACACTTAGGATTTAGTTTTGTGCAATGCTGTAGCACCTTACAAAGCGTCTCTGTTTTATTTCTGAGGAGTATTACATTTGTCTGGAGTTTTTCTCCAGTAAGAGCATCCACAAAAGCCAACAATCTTTAATGATATAGATATAGGGTAAAGCATGGGGTGCTGATTTTAGGAGGAGATACTTTGGTATTATTTCACCTGCTGGTGCAAAATCATGTAAGAGTCTCCTTAGTAACTCTGCTGAAAAGACTCTGGGAGATGGGAACTCTCAGGTGTTTCATCCTCTTGCTTGTTAGGAAAATAGTGCTTCTGCAGGGACTGGTTCTTGTTCTTGGGATTTCCTCAAAATGCTTAATATGTTTTCTTCATTTTTTGTTGTGTATTGTACAGTGGTAGGAAGTTACAGTACGCTGGCTACATTTTTTCCTGTGGAAATCCGTGTGGAATGAGTAAAATGTAACAACAAACTCCTTGTATTCTAATGAACTCAACTAGATGTTTAGCTCAGGAGCTGAGGTGTGGTGAATGTGTTGCCGATAGGGTTTAATGTCCTTAACACCTTAATTGGTGTTTCCATGACATTTCTTCTTTTCTTCCAGTTTTGTCATTTGCAGATTTTCTAGAGTTTGTTGAATTTATCAACCTCAGCTGATGTGTGTCAGTAGTTTTAACACTCACAGAAGTACCGATTAAGCAAAATTCTGCAGTGACTTGGACTTTTTTCATAGCATTTCCCTTTAGTGGATATTCACAGAAATTTTTTTTGTTCAGTAAAGCAAAGACATTTTACTGCTTTTTTTTTTTTTTTTTTTTTAACTAATAATCTTTGAAACCTGTTCATGAGGGGTGGATGTGTTGCTTTATCTGTTACAGGAAGTAACAGCTTTCTCTAGATAATGCTAACTACGCAGGTAAAGCAGAATGCAAATCAGTTAATTTGCTCTTACAAATATGCATTTACATTGAAATTTAGTGATATTATAAAATGTCATGCTGTAGTTTACTTAGAAGTAAAGTGCAGGAGTGGTCAGTTTTCGTGCTGGTTGCTGTACCCAGCAGTGAGCAGATGTGCCACTGAATGAAGGGAAAACTTGTCTCTCTCACAGGGCAGAATCACACCATGAATGCTGAGTTAGGCTAACATTGGAAGTAGTCCTCTGTAGCCAGAACGTGTTTTCCTGTTCTTGCTGCTGTCCCAGTGGGGTGGCAGTGAGGGTTCTGTACAGTGAGGGATCCTGTGCTTTGCTTCACCTGCTCCTTAAGCTACAGGTAAAGAAGAGGAACTAAAGGACTTAAGAAGAAAAACTGAATGAGTCTATGTCCTGTGCTAGTCTAAAGGATAAACTGGTTCCAGAATTGGTTGCAGAAAAAGGGCATGAAAAATGTTACAGAATCACCAAGAATCACAGAACAGTAGAGGCTTGAAGAGACTTTTGGAAATTTTTCTAATATCTCTCCCAAAAAGAAATCAGCGTGGGGTGTGAAGAGATCAGTTTTATTTCATTATAAGGTATTGTGAAGATGAGGCTGTACAGAGATACTGGCTTAGGAAATGCTGATGTGATTGATGATTTAACTAGTTGGGCACCTCTGCAGTGAAGATAAGGGAGCACAAAGAGCTCCTGAGAGCTATGGACAGGAAAGTAGGGGGATGTGTTACATAACAGATGAAATTCTGAGACTTCAGGTGAGCAGGAGAACAGGGATGGAGCAAACTGATGCCTAGAGGAAATGGCAGTCAGGTAAAAGTGATAAATGTGCTTTGTACAGCCAGCACCAACCCGAGTAAGTGGTGAGTAGGGACGTAGGTGGCTGTAATACTGTGAGTGTGAAAGCATGTTGCATCCCGAGAATGGATGTTTATGTGAGGTTTGGGTAGTGCAGGTGAATTCCCATCCCTTTCTGTAAGGCTTTTTAGGGCTCTTGCTGTTAATCACAAATTCATTCCAATACCCAGCAGAATACTGTGAAGGAGAAACTGGAAGCTGGGTGCATCATTGACTAGCAATAGTTAAGAAGCATCTACTAGAGTAACAGTGACCTTTTTAGTGCTTTGCCATTTTTATTGGGTGTAGTTTTGTTTCTAGACTGTAATTTGAGTGTCTTTTGGGCTGGTATTAACCAAGCAAAATCAATAATTCTGAAGATTTTGTTACAGTTTGTGTAATGTTTATGAGAACCTTCACTGGAAATAGTTGTCAGGCTAAACATAAAATTCCACAGAAGAATTTTAATGGGAATCTTGAGATCACCTTCAGTGTTGCTTTTTTCCTGTTCTTTTTTAGTTGTAAAAGCTCTGTTTAATTGGTTTGGTTAAGCATTTGTCTTCCTCTCCTTCTAAACACCTACATAACAGGTGTACATAACTACACCTACATAACCTACAGACAAGCAGAGTAGAACCTTAGGTGGAATTTGGTGGATCATTACATGTGGTCGAGTTTGCCTGCGAGAGAAACAATTGGAATGCATATGGTTCGTAATAGAAAATGCCTGTTAATTTAGGAATTAATAGTGAGTACCAGTCCCATAAGTTAGTAAGAATCACTGAGATACTCTAGTTTTGTTGTTGAAAGTAATCTTCTGTCTGATATAGTTCAAATATCTGCTCTCTCCCTTTCTGCTTTAGTTGTCATGGATGATGACGACGACGAATCCTGTCTCCTTGATCTTATCGGGTGAGTTTTCCTTAAGTAATTCTTTCCAAATTTTTTGATAAATAGAAGACTTCGGCTTTTGGAATAGAAACGGTAGAAATTTTGTGAGCACCAGGCTTGTATCTTAAAGGAGAAAGTAAAATTATGGTTTGTTTCTCAAATAGAAAATGCGTAGTTTTTATTAATAATGTACATTTGCATAAAATGTTACTAAAATAGAATTGCTATCTACTGTTGTTAAGGATTAGCAATAAACAAGTACTGATCAGTGTTTTGCTCAAAGATGCTTACTTTTAATAAAATAGGGAATTTCCAGTGCAATCAGAGAAGTCTCTGGTCCTATTTGTTTTCATTACTTCCATGACATATTTGCTTGCAACTTTATTATACATTCCAGATGAGAATCTCATTAAGCAACAGTTAGCTGCAGCGCAAGCAAAAAAATTGCAGCAATTATATGTGGCAAAGTTACTTTTGGTTAATGTTCATGGTGATTATTCAAGAACTGATCATCTGTTGCAATGCATTTAAAGCATAAAAAAAATTGAACATCCCAGATACAGTATTTTATTCAGACTGACAAAAACTCCTAAGCATGATAGATCCCTATATGTGATTTTGAGGTCTTTCTCCTTAATTCGTGAAATTTGGTGTAATCTAGTAAGAAAACGACATTCTGATGGTTAAAACCTATGCAACCATTTTAAATGCTAATCAAAATTCTACTATGGAACCCTGTTAAAGGACACTGTGGCTGTCCTTAATATATTTAGTAGATTTGTGAATTCTTTTATACATGTACACACACACCCATGAGCACGCACACATAAATATGAAACACACAGAAGAGGCATGGAGGGGTGTGTGTGTGTATATGCATATACATACACATGTATATGTATTATTTTACATATATAAATTTTCCTGAGCTTTTTAAGGAGTAGTTATAAATCTAGAATATATTTAATTTGTTCCCTCTCTATTTTGTAGGGTGATCAAGAATGAAGATGAGATGTTTAGAATTAATATTTTTACATGGGAAGCTCCTGCTTCTTAAACATGTTTTATTATTGCTTTTTAACAGATTAAAGATATTTTAAAATCAGAAAATTCTTTTATTTTGCTCTTTATGCTAATGAGCATGTGCAGAAATGCTGTATTGCTGTATTAAAATAATTATGTAACATAACTTCTGAGTATATCTTAATAGGTCTGTATGTTCAGTTGTATTGATGTGTATTTTATTTGAATCTTCAGTATTTTATCAGATGTTAAAGATCAAGATTTAAAAATATGATAATTTATTGAGACACTTAACAGGTGGACATTATAGCTGATCTCAGTAGAAAAAATGGTTCATATACTAGTTTTCATATTATTTGGTGATAGTATTTTCCTTATGTTTTGTACTCTGTGTTGTCATAAAGTGCTATATATTTTAAGCATATGTAAAAGGAAGGAAAGTTGAATGTCACTAAGATTTTGTGAAGAACATGGCTTTTTTTTTTTTTTTTTTTTGAACTGCTTTTTGTCCTAATCGCGATTTGATAAACATGCAAGAATTACTGTGTTAAAGAAACATAGATCCTCAGATGATGTAGATTTTCAGCTTTTTATTGGAGTCAGTGAAGCAGACCTGATTTATATGAGCTGAATACAGGGCTCTGGTAAATGAGCCTTATTGAGCAGAAAACTGTTTAAGTAATAATCTTTTTTTTTCCCCAAAGGGACCCACAGGCACTGAATTATTTTCTACATGGACCTAGTAGTAAATCTGTAAGTAGCATTCATATTTATTAGATTATATATAAACTTAAGTATGTATGTTATTTTTGAACATGATTTTTATGTTTTGCCAGAGCAATGAAGACTTGACTAATGCAGAATATTCTGTAGCCAACTCAAATTCAATTTTTGCCAACTCCAATGTAAGTAACCAGGAGAGAAATTCCATTTTAATTGAGATTGCATGCCTGTTATGGAGATAAACATATATTTGTGTGTGTGTGTGTATGTATATATATATATATATATTTAATGTGACTGAATGAAGTAGATTTGGGCTTTGACCTTCTCAGTGTGAAAATTCTGAACTAGGACTGTCTCATGAAGTTTATTTTAAACACTGAGTTTTCAGTGGAGGACTTGAATTAAAAAGTAAGTAGAATTCTTGGGACATTTCTCAAATATGCAAAAGCAACTTGCTGAGCAGTGCAAATGTTCTCCAGTGTAACTCTACCCGGTGAACTGGACTTGTCATTTTAGCGTTCAGAGAAATAATAGTGCTCAAAATCGTAAAGTTACAATCATTCATATGTTTCCTGTGTATATTAGAATCTTTTTGTTTCTTATTTCTAAGTAGAATCTCAAATAATGTATTTTTTTAAACAAGTTAATATCTTTTAAACTAAAAAGATAGCTTGGATATCCTCTTCCTGTAATTCCAGTATTAGGGATTTTTTCTGGATTTTTTCTTGATCTGCAATATGCTGTGACTTAATTATTGCTGTGTATGAAGTTTTTATCCTTAAGAAAGGTTTTAAAATGGCACTTAAAATTTATTAGGTCCTTTAAGTCATCTTCAGAGTTTTTTCTGAAACATACAGTTGTGTTTTGCCGGTAGCTTCTCTTTCTGTTTTACTGTCTTTGTGACTGTGCATGTTTAGCCCATGTTCCTAGTGGATTTGTGGATGTACCGTAGGTGTGTAGAGTCTTTAATTGGCGTACATGAGTCCCATAAAACATGTGCTGTGTGTGGAGACCTGGTAGCTTACACGAGCTGCAGTACTGTAAAGTTGAAGTATTAGCCCTGCCCTTCTCCTTTTATCCTTATTATTACATACATAGAACATACATTGAGTGACAGCCCATTCTAGAGCTTACAGGTTACCAGATGCAAGGTGTGGTAGATGAGCTAGTTGGGAAGATGGTGGGGAAAATGGGGTACCAACAATAGTAGGGTGCACCCAATTCTCATCTGCTCAGGATCAGTGGGCACAACTTGATACCAGGTTAACCATGATCAGACAACACTGTCCTGTGTGCATCATGGCAGAGGTGAGTTTTGAGAAGGCTTCTTAAGAACGACAAGATCATGGGGAAAAAAAAAAGGGTAATACACAACATGGATTTGGCACAGGATAAACTTCTTGTTGTTCCTTGCAGAGTTTCTTCAAGTAAGCCTGAATATGTAGGTGGGAGCAAGAGATGTATTTCTTGTATATTCTTGTAAGGTGAAATTCTGGAGTAAGTTGAGATGAAATGGGAGGTACTGGGGAAGATGGAATTGTTGGGAAGGAATCAGTGGTTGGGAGAAATGAAAATATTCAGTGAATGCCAGAAGTTTTCTGCAATGTGAGGTTGGTGAGGAGATGGTCTAGAAGATAGAGGATCAGAGTAGCAGTTTTGTAGTGTGTGTTCCTAGAGCTGCTTATTCCCTTTCACTCTCCAGCTCTTACTCCTCTCATGTTTCTGTTCTCATCCTTTTGCCTCTCCCTAACTAATACTAATGTTCTCTTCTTAGCTGGGTTTTATTCAATGAATTTTTCATTATTCCTATCACACACTGTAAGAGTGGAATATTCACAGAGCCAAAAAGAGTAAGACTAGTTGCTGGCAGGAAGGTAGACAAAGTTCCAGAGGCACTAAATGCCTGCTGAAATTAGTAGGGTGTTGTGTATCTTCTTAATTTCTTTTTTTTTTTTCTTTTTCTTTTTTTCTCTCCTTTCTTCTTGTTCATACCTGGCAGAATTTTGGAGATATTGAATCTTGTTTGATAGAGAAATCCAACAAAAGAGCACCTTTCTTCCACCTCTTTCCTGCTAATACTGCTGCTGCTATAATCTTGCTCCAAATTCCAATTACAGTGGAGGTCTTTCTCCTCCCTTCTACCCTTGGGTCCATGAGGTGCTCAAGCTGGAGGGCAGGAAGGGTGCCAACTTGAGTGTCATAATCTCTTGAGCAAGTGCAGCTCCAGAGCAGAGCACAGTGTGACTGAGACATTTGAGAAGTGAGAGGAGTGTCCCCAGCAGTCTGTATGGGGCCTCAGCGGAATGTGATACATGTTTGTGCTGGCCCCTGTATAGGGTGAATGTTACCTGATAATATAGCTAGGATGCAGACAATGTAATTTTGCAGCAAGTTTGTTTGCAAGAAAGAGGAATCATGATGGGGGAAAAAAGCAGAGCTTACAATTTTTGAAAAGTAATTTAATTTCTTTTTTTTTGCATTTCAGAACACCGATCCTAAGTCGTCTGTAAAAGGTGTGAGCAGCCAGCTTGGCGAGGGGCCTAGTGATGGACTGCAGCTGTCCAGTAGCCTTCAGTTTCTTGAAGATGAACTTGTATCTTCTCCCTTACCTGATCTTAGTGAGGATCAGCCTTTTGATATTCTTCAGAAGTCCTTGCAGGAGGCCAATATTACCGAACAGACTTTGGCAGAAGAGGCATATTTGGATGCCAGTGTAGGTTCTAGCCAACAGTTTGCACAAGCTCAGCTTCATCCTTCTTCATCAGCATCCTTTACTCAGGCTTCTAATGTTTCTAATTACTCAGGTCAGACGTTGCAACCTATAGGAGTTACTCAAGTGGTACAGCAACCTGTTGGAGCATCTTTTGCAAGCAATACAGTCGGTGTGCAACATGGCTTTATGCAACATGTTGGAATTAGTGTTCCCAGCCAGCATTTGTCTAATAGCAGCCAGATTAGTGGTTCTGGGCAGATACAGCTAATTAGTTCTTTTAGTAATCAGCCTTCCATGATGACCATTAATAACCTTGATGGCTCTCAGATTATACTGAAAGGCAATGGTCAGCAAACACCTGGAAACATGAGTGGGGGCCTCTTGGTTCACAGACAGACTCCAAATGGTAACTCTTTGTTTAGTAACTCAAATTCAAGCCCAGTAGCACAACCCGTAACCGTCCCATTCAACAGCACAAATTTTCAGACGTCATTGCCTGTCCATAATATCATCATTCAAAGGGGTTTAGCACCAAACTCTAATAAAGTTCCCATTAATATCCAACCAAAGCCTCTCCAGATGGGTCAGCAAACTGCTTACAATGTGAATAACTTGGGAATACAGCAACATCATGTGCAGCAAGGGATCCCGTTTGCTTCTGCAAACTCACCTCAGAATTCAGTGGTTGGTCCTCACATGTCTGTTAATATTGTCAATCAGCAAAATACAAGAAAACCCGTCACACCTCAGACAGTCAGTAATGCTGGAGGCAGTATCGTTATCCATTCTCCTATGGGGCAGCCGCATGCCCCTCAGAACCAGTTCCTCATACCTACAAGCTTGTCTGTTAGTTCTAACTCAGTTCACCATGTCCAGGCCATAAATGGGCAGCTTCTTCAGACTCCATCTTCCCAGCTGGTTCCTAGCCAAGTATCCGCTGAGCATGTTATGCTGAACAGGAACTCTACCAACATGCTAAGGGCCAACCAGCCGTATTCGGGACAGATGCTGAATAATCAGAACACAGCTGTTCAGCTGGTTTCTGGCCAGACATTTGCAGCTCCTGGAAGCCAAGTTATAGTAAATCATGGATCTTCTCAGATTGTTGGGGGACAGGTGCCACTGCAGCAGGCATCGCCAACGGTGTTGCATTTGTCACCAAGTCAAGCTAACGTTTCTCAAGGCAGATCTGGGTTTACTACGATGTCACCCGGGCAGTCTCCAGTCTCCAACATGTCCGCACCGAATCGCTTTGCGGCTGTAAGTTCTTCTGGGTCCGGACATGCCAGCCTGGGACCCCCAGCTCAGTCTGTGGCGTCGGGAGGAACCTTCACGGGAGATCAGCTTGCCCAGAACAGAACTCAAGTCTCTGCGAGCGCGGCACATCGTCTTCCAGCATCCTCTTCCAAATCTGTGAGCACCTTCAGTCACGTGTCCGCTGGAGCGACCCAGCAGCAGTTTGCCTTCAGTCAGGTACGGAAGCTGCTGGAGAACGCGGCTTAAGAAACGCTGCTTAAACTGTGCTCAGACTTGGTGAGCGAGGCTGCATTCACGCTGGCATGAATGCATTAATTTAGCTGATTTATTTTAATTACAAATACTGTGGAAATGCTGAAAGTTACTGTATTCCTACTGTATTCCATACTGTATTCCAGTAGAAGTCATTTCACTCCCTATTTTGTAAGTATCATTCACTGAATGAGAATGAGTGAAGATTTCCTTGTTGACTTGTAGTGATATTTTGACAACTACTCAGTGGTGATTGGTTTTTTTTCCTGCTCTTACCTGAACTAATGAGCATTGTAAAACCCTGGGCACTCCTGGAGATCTTACTCCAGAGCTAGAACTAAAATTTCGGGTACATTCTTAACACCTATAAGACCTTCACACCTTTTGACTTCAGTAAGAAGTATACATGTTTTCAAGGTCTGACCTGTTAAACTAAAGATAAAAATGTTTCTCAGACGTTTTTGTCCATTACAGTTTTGCAATTCTTGAACAGTTTGTACCTTTCAAATTTGAAATTCAGCAGTCAAAAAACAGCAAAAGCTGTTTCTTGGAACAATTAAGAGGAAATATTTTCCATAGCAATTTGTAAAAGAGTATCATTTTTTTCTAAGTATATTTCCTCTAAGAGGTCAAGTAAGTAAGCCAGGGGAGGGAGGAGAGAAAGGTCTGAGTGTGCTTATAAGATGAGAACAGGTCCTCTTTTTCCAGTGATTGTAGTTACAATGTATATATTCAGGTATGGGCTTTATTTAGGAAATAAGGATGGACCTGTTGTAGGAATGCGTTTTTGTCGTTGCAGAAACTGTTAGTGCAGAAAGTAAAAGTTGTGTGTAGATGGGCAGTATAAAACCTGCCTGAATGGACTCTCTGTATATAGATCTTCCAATTTGTATATATGCTGAGGTCAGTGAGGTGTGGCAAAAAAAAAAAAAAAAAAAAAAAAAAAGCTCTTGCTGTGAAAGAGCATTTTATTTGTCTGCTAAAATTTCAGGGGTGTAAAAGGGAAATGTGTCCGCAGGTAACTGCAGAGATCAGATTCTGCTGTTTACGGGAATCTTTTTAGTATCTCTATGTTTATGCTTGAAATATTGTACTCTAAAATATGGATTTAGTCACTAAATACTATGTAGCTTTTGCCACTGAAGGTGTTTTTGGTGGAGAGAGATTTATTGTGATATTTCGCTTAGATAGATTTTGTGGTTTTGAGACTCTTAAAGAAGTACACCTATCTGAAGGACACTTTTAGGTAATCAGTGGCTCTTGTAGAGTCTTCTTTAGCTATACTTTTAGTCTAATAGCCCTCTCTGATGTAGTCCACAAAATTCTTGTGTTTAGCAGTAGGGATTGAGATAGCTGAAACACCACTACTTAAAAAGTTGAGGTGAGAGAGAAGTGTGTAGAGCTGATGAGCTGTAGCTGTCTCACTTCTTAAATTTCTTTTTCCTACTCATTTTCTCCATTAAAGCTTTCAGTTAACATTTCACTGACGTGTGTATGTGGTCTTTTCACAGGCACAAAAGAAATCTATGAACCAGACATCACCAGTTTCTGCATCAAAGACACAGGATAACTTGAGACAGCCTCAGCTAACAAGTCTTCTGAGTAACACATTATCAGGTCAACTAAGGTCTTTTTATAATCATTTTAGCTAATTCCTCCAGTAACAAAGATCGGTTATCCTTCACAGGATCAGACTTGAATTGCTGGTTTATTCTGTTAGGGTCTTAAAGGTTATCAGAATTCTGTTTTTAGAAGAAATCAAACCAAGTTTTTTAACACTGAGTGTGTGCTTTTTCCAGACAGCAGCCTGGACAGCGGAACATTCTGCTTCATTTTTCAGACCAATAAGTGGAATGTATGCACTAAGCAATTATTTCCTCTGTATAAAACTCAAATTTGTTTTCTCTTCTTTCTCTAGTGTTTTTTTTCAGCTTAGAACATTAGTAATTTGCAAAATACAGATATTTGCTATGATATTCTCTGAAATTTCTAGACCCTTCTTGTGATGGCAGCTTCAGATACAAAGGAATCAAGAACAGTGGTTGCAAGGTTATAGGCAGCCTTTCATTACTGGATTTGCTTTCGAATAAGTTTTTTACCTTCAGTTAGGATAGGTAATGCATTGTTCATGGTAAAACACTCAACTTTTAAGTGGCACCATGCTACTAGGAAACAAAACAGAAAAAAGCAGCCCATGGCAGATCGTGATAGATACAAAACAGAGAAAATGCAGTAGCCTTCTTGTTCTCAGTATACGTAAATAACCTGGGCCCTGAATAAGATCCCATAATCTACTTGCTTTGGTTATTTATTTATGTGTTTATTTCTTATGTAGTGGTATGTATGAGATGGTCAGGCATTTGTTTATATATGGTTAATTCTCTTTCTTTCCTAAGAGCTAGAAACTCAAGTAGGACTATTGGGATAGGTACCTGAAATCTATTCTGTTCTTGGTTAAGGTAACGATCTTCTTAACATATGTTTTATAGGACAGGACTCTGGAGGAAAAATCATACCACAGTCTCTAGGAACAGCACAGCTACAACAAGAAAAAGTAATAGGATCATCTCCTGTTCAGCAGAATATACAGGTAGAGAATCTTTTTTTTTTTTTTTTTTTTTTTTGATATTCCTTTAACTTTTAGTGAAGCAGTTTGACATACATGATTTCCTTTATCTTAAAGCAGAAAGTAAAGCAGAAAGTGTATAATGTAGTACTAAATTTTGTGTTTAGCCTGTTCTTCGAATTATTGTCCCAATGTCAGTAAGAGCACATAAAAAGCACACCTTTTCCTGCAGTGGTGTGTGCTTTTTATGTTGCAGAGCTAGAAGCTTTTTGGCCAACAAGCATCAGTGCAGTGCATTTGCTTCATGTGACTTCTGCCATGCCAGAAGAGATGGTCTGTGTTGCATGCTTGTTTCTTCCTGCTGACCATATTGCAGTTTGAAAGAGCTTGTTATTTACATCTAAATCATAAATATCAAGGACAAGTTGGATCCAGAATATGATCACTTTGGGAGTCTTTGGATTGCAGTAGTGCTTTCTGTACGGTGGAAACGTGTCGCTACCACCTCAGAGCCCCTCACATCCCAGGGAGTGGTTCTCTGTAAAAACTTGCCTCTCTCAAATGCTGCACATCTCTCTAATGGATAAATCTGTAGCACTGGCACCGAATCAGAGCTCCTAGGGCTGCCCATCCCAAACACCATGACCTTTGAGATTTCACATCTCAAAGCCATAGCTTGCTCCTCTGACATGTCTTCTAATCCATCCTGGGTGGGCAGGAAGGCGTCTGCTGAGAAGTGCAGGGAATTTTTTCTTCAGAAGTTCTTAACTGTAACTGTCCTTCTCTGACCTGTTAAATTTGATGACCAGTGTTTTTCCCAGTGAAGTGTGTGTAGGCCCCGCAGTGCAATCTGCCTGTAAACAGCCTATGTGTCATATCTTGGCTTTGTGCAAGAGAAGCAGCTTCCCTGTTTCATTGATCCAGTGCCCTGCGAAGATAGGATACAGTTGAAATTGATTTACTTGGTGATTACAGTTAATATTGGTAATATGCTTAATTGGCCTCTGCCAACCGATGAATGCTAGAAAGCTTAGGCTTTGCAGGGGAGGGTGTAGTATCAGTTTGATTTGTCCTTTATTTTGCGTTTAGATGGATGGTCATATCGTCGGACAGAAAAGGCCTGCAGCTAAACAGTTAACTAAAGGAGCTTTGTAAGTTATATCCTTCTTTTATAAGTTATAAGTTATAAGTTAAGTATAAGTTATATCCTTCTTTTGTAATTTTGTTGCAAACATCTTGTTCGACCTTTATTTCCTGTTTCATTTTGTCAGTGTATAAACTTCTCTTAGGGTTAGATTGTGTTAATTATACGTATCATTAATTTTCCTTGTAGTATCCTACAGCAGTTGCAGAAGGATCAGGTGCACGCTGTGACACCAGATAAAAGTCAATTCAGATCATTAAATGATGCACTTCAGAGACTCCTCTCATATCATGTGTGCCAGGGATCCCTGCCAACAGAGGAAGACTTAAGAAAAGGTAATCATCTTTTAAAAATCAGAGCTAAGGTAATGAATATCTTAAGAAAATTCTTTATGTAAGTTAAAGCAATAAGAACGGAAACATTTTAAAGTTTTTGCAGGTTACTGAGCCTTGTGGTTACTGAAGAAAAGTATTTTAAAGTATTCTCTTGTCTTTTTAGTGGACAGTGAATTTGAATCTGTAGCTACACAGCTTCTGAAGAGAACCCAGGCTATGCTGAACAAGTACAGGAGTTTGCTTCTAGAAGATGCAATGGTAAGGTGTATAATGCAGATATATTTTACAGGATATGGTTTCATTTGTATCAATTGCCTCAAATCATTGAAATAGTTGTATTATGCCAGTAAAAAGCCTATGTTTCCTTGAGCCCTGTTAGATGGCTCGTACTAATATAAAGGATTCTGTTGTTGCTTGGTAAATAATTCAACTGAATTTGTCTCAAGAGAATCTGCTTTTGAAAGTACTTCCTAGTATGTAGCAGAGGCTTCAGAAAAATACCGAAAATAATTCTCTGTTTACAGTTCTGTGGTTGAAATTAGAGCTGACATCCTTTCCTAGTCCTTCCTGTTTCCAGGTCTCTTGTAGAGCACGTTGCTTCTGCCTGGTTCTGCTAGTGCTGCCTTGCTGCTGCAGCACAGTTTACAGAGCTCCCACACCTCCCGTAGAGTAGACCCCAAGGTGCATGGGGTTGGGATGTGATGGCTTTCAAGAGTATGGTCCCAGCTGAGCAGGCAATGCCTATAGAACTAGTGGAACTTAGTGCTTAGTATCCTGCTGAATATTTTTCTGCGGGAAGGTGAGAGCTATGATCTTAAAGGTATTTTCCAGCTGTAATGATTCTATGATTCTGCGCTGATACCATTTGTCACTTGCATGTATACATATGTAGTCCAATCCCTTCTTAGTCTGGCAGCGTCACCAGTGACCATATATCTAAGCATACGCTCGTATCTTAAAACCAAGGAAACGAGTCTAGTGCACGTTTCGTGTATTGCCTGAGCAAAGGTGCATGTACACTCTGTACGCGCTGCAGGGACAGGAGCTGCTGCTCTATGTTCTTTGCTCTTGTTCTGAATGGCCTCTGTGACCAGATGGGTGGTTTCATGGAGTTAGGGTTCCCTTGTCCCTTCCTGCAGGTGACGGTGCCTGAAAGAATGTTGAAAAGTTCCCTTCTGAGGCCTCAAGCTCTATTCTAATTTGTAAAACCCTTATTATAATTTGTAAAATCTTCATTGAACAGTATGTACCATGAACTATGAATGATGCTTTATTATTGGCTAAGTTTCAGTAATGCTTGGGGTCACCATCAAGATTTTTTTCAAGATTCTATATAAATGTAGCAATTTTACATTCTACAAATGCATAATAAAAGTTGGTGTCTTCCTTTGAAGAGTTACTAACCTCTAAGTGGTAAGTTCTGGTTTAGTACAATACATGAAGTGACCTCAGGGATGATTATATTTTTCCTTTTCTTCCAGCGGATAAATCCCTCTGCTGAAATGGTTATGATTGATAGGATGTTTAACCAGGAAGAAAGGGCATCTCTGTCCCGGGATAAGCGTCTTGCACTAATGGATCCTGGTAAGTGGTGGTTAACTTCAAAGCCTTAAGAAAGCAGCATAAGCACAAGGTGTTTAAAAGTATTTGGGACTTTGGTGAGGCACTGATAGTTAGGGATTCTACTAATTGAAATACCTAATAAGCAGTTACAACTTAAATTTTAGTAACTGCCAGATTTAAGAATCTAGAGATGCTCTGAAGTTGAAGATGGTTATTAGCGAAAGGAAGTACTAGGCCTGTCAGCAGAGAAATATTTCTGAAATTATTCTGACTATAATTGTGTTTCCTCATGGGTTCAAGTCTAGTATGGACTCTCAAGAGTTTGCTCGTATGAAGCAAAGACATGTATGAAGTGTGAATACTCTCATTCACCTTAAAGAAGTGTGCTTTTAGTGCTAAAATTGTCAGTATGCCTGTTAATTAAATGGCATTTTAAAAGGGTAGTTTTGTTAGTGTTCTGTGTAATTTTAAAAGATATTCAGAGGGTGTATGATAATGAAAGTTTAGACAACAAAATACTATTTTTGTAATACCATATTTGAGTATTTAGAATGCTCGAAAAGGCCTTCAGTTTGACTTTACAGTGTAGACCACTTGCCTTGCTGGCTATATTGATGATAGCTTAAGTTTAAACTTAAACTTAAGTGTAGGCTTCAGTGTTTTGCTGTGTTAATGCTTTAATGTTTAGGCAGAGCTGTTAAAGACCTTCCACTCTCTCAATGTTATTGAATTTTCATATTCAGTAAAAAGTTGGAATCTTGGTTTTTTTTTTTTTTGAGGTGTGAGCTTAAATAAAATGTTGCTGCTCTAATTTTCAGATGGTTATCAGGCCGATTTTTGTTGTTCTGCCAAGCAATTTGATACAACAGCTGATGAAGCACAGACCAGCAAAAGTGACCATCAGTCTAGCAAAACATTAACCTCTCGAAGTCACACTGCAAAGATCCATGCCAGAGACCGACCAAAACCCAGTTCAGCAGAGTCCACAAATCACAGTAAACTTCCTCTAGTGCCTAACAACGTTTTGACACCACAAGAAGGAAAGGTTTCAACTAAAAAATCGGAGAGCCTCACTAAAGCTTTAAAGTTTGAGAAGGCTAATTGCTCTCCTGAGAGCCGGTACGTGACCCTTTCTGAAGAAAAGAGGGCTGGCAAAGACCTGGCCAAGTCCACAGAGAATTCTTCGGGTTCTGAAGACTTGTCAAAAACTCTGTCAAGAGCTAGTCATGGAACACACAATAAAATATCAAGGAATACAGTTCAATCTTACTCAAAAGTGACATGTAATAATTCCTTCCAAGACAAAACTCTGCGGAGTTCTCCAAAGAATGAGGTTTCACATCCCGATAATATGAAAGGCTCTGGTGAACCCCAGCAAGACTTACTGCTCAGTAAGAGTTTAGAAACTACATTTAAAAACATCTTGGAACTTAAGAAAGCTGGGAGACAGCCCCAAAGTGAGGCGACTAGTAGTGGCTCTGTTGAATTAGAATTTCCTAACTTTTCACCTATTGCTTCACAGGAAAACTGCCTGGAGAAATTTATTCCAGACCACGGTGAAGGTGGTGTAGAAACTGACTCTATTTTAGAAGCAGCTGTAAATAGTATCTTAGAGTGTTAATAGTTGCAGTTCCATGGACAAGTGATGTTTCTCTTAGCAGAAGCAAATGTGAATGACACCACAAGTACAGCCTGACATACGTTTAAGGTTAACCTTTCTAAACTAGATTCTGTTCTGTGTTTGAGAGCAATACTCATTGTGGTTACAGTGAGATATCCAAGTAAAGTTAATCCTTGTTAGAATGCAGTCTGTTAGGGCCTTATTATTTCAAGTATTATTATGATAGTGCTTTTGATAATTGTGCAGTACTGCAACATAACAAGGTTGCAGATCCTTAGGCCCTATACGGTAATATACTGACAATCACAGTCATTTGAAAGGATATATTTATTAAGAAAATGTTTTTAAAATGTGATGGAAGCAACAATTTTTCCCTGCCCCTCTCTTCCACAGATCATAAATCTTTCTTTCTTTTTTTTTTCTTTTCCCCTGGAGATTGTATTCATGCTTTATTAATGTTTATTAATGAAGCTGTCTGTTCTGGGAGTCAGAAGGATGTCATCAGTGTGTGTACAGGGCTTCATACTTCCAAGTGCTTTCCTATTGCTTTCTGAGCAGAAACTAGGACTTGATGGAATATTTGTAGAAGGTAAATTTAGTCTGTGGGATGATCCTGTCTGATCTTAGTGGCAGTGGCATGCAATGAAGTAATAAATGCCTGAGTAAGGAAGGGAGTGGAAGCCAGTCAGTGGCAGAAGTGTACAGGATAAGGCTATGATAGAGCCATGAATTTATATATATATAATACGTATGTATGTTAACTCTTGAGGAAGGGATTTTGCATTTTATAATTGGATGTAGTCAAGCCTTGAGTCTTTCTAAAGTGGTAGGAGTTTTTTTTTTAATTTGTTGTTGTTTGTTTTGTTTTTGTTTTAGACCAAGTGTCAAAAGCACTTTTATTTGAAAACTGTTATGATATTAGTAGCTTATATTTTAAGAGGACATTAGCCTTACTCCAATTAAATTTGAAGGCCAGTGTTTATTTTTGATTTTATTTTTTCTTTTTGCTCTCAAAGAATGTTAAATCATCCACCATAGCAGTCATAATTACTGAGATGTACAGACCAAAGTCAATCATCAATCCCATTATAAAAACATATCTAAAAGAGTGTAATTATTAATTCATATTCTGGAGCCAAACGAAACCATTGCATGGTTTGCATTTGGCTTGCTGTCGTGTTGATAAGATAGAATCTTATTATTTTATTTATTTATTTTAATCTATGACATCTTTCTTTATGCTGCCCATGCTGCTTCTTACCAGTTTACTTTGGTCATCAGTGCTGTTGTGCACATAGGCACGCTGGCATCAGTCACGTGCATGTAGTACCTATGTCTGCTCAGGAGGATGGAGCTTTGGTGGTGGCTGAGGTGCGCTCCTGGTCTCTCCCAGACCTTCCCCACAGTTTGTTGGGAAATCTGCTCTTTTCCATACCTGCCTGTTGCCATGTGCGTAGGCAGTTTCGTCGCGGCTCCTTGTGACAAGCTCTGGTTGCCATATAGCCAGCCAAGGAAACAAAGTCTTGCTGTCGTGTAAAGCAGCCCGGCTGGCTGCTGCAGAGGAAAGCAGAATGAGATCCGTGTGACAGCAGAAAATCGCAGTGCAAACTTGGTGCTGAGTTACAGTCCACTGTCTGACCGCTGAAGGAAACCAAATCTAGAAAGCAACGTGAGAAAGATAAACCTATTTAAAGCTCGTTTCCCCTTGAACTTAAATGGATATGCTGGTTTTTTTTTTTTGTTTGTTTGTTTTGGTTTTTTTTTTTTGTATGTTATCAATTGCCATTTAAAAAAATTGTGCCAATTTAAAAGTACATGTTTGTAAAACCCAGCATTCCCAAGTGTTGTATAAAATATTAAAAGTAATAATAAGTATTGCCAGTTTTAAATTTCTAGTTAGGTGTCAGTAGAATAGACTCTCAGGCAGTTAGCTGTTTTCTTATTGGCAAAACTGACGATAGAGACATCACCTCTTGCCTTTTTAGATGAAATAATATGCTTATAGCTGTGTATCCTGATGCGTGTGTATTTTATGATCTTGGAAATGTAACCATTCAAAGCTGTCTAGGAAGGAAAACAGTAAGTTACACAGCTATATGTTGCCTAGCTAAAGTTTCCTTTTATAGGAAAAAAGGACAAGTTGCACATTCATTGATCCACTTGCTTTTTGTACCACCTTAAAATGGGTATGAGATTTCCAGCATCTGTAGAGCGAATATATAAATGAAATATCAGACCATGTGTCTTTTACTGAATTTTATTTTGGGGTAGGGGACAATGGCATAGACAAAGGACAAATTGCAGAGAGTAGTCGCTGTTGATTTGGTCCTACACATTAGTCTGAGCTACTTACGAGAGGAAACCATTGGCCAATTCTAGCAGGATACATCTTAGATTGTTAGTGTGCTGGTGTTCACTCCTTTGAATTCAATTCTAAAGGAATTTTGGTACGTGGTGAAGCAGTAAATGAAAGAATTGTATTTTTGTTGTGCTTAGAAAGTATGAATTTATTAATCATATGAGCTGAAATCCAGCAAAGTATTGTGAATGTGCATGATTTGAAGCATTTTCATTATTTTGCTGGGTCAGCGTTGTGATTTCAATGTTATTTAATACTGCCTAATATTAAAACAAATTTTAAACTGGCAATTAAGAAAATATGTTCATTTTGAAGATCTTAGTATAATTTATCTGTTAGATTAGGGAGGCCTTACAGACTGACTTCACTTAAAGAGGATGTGTCACTTATTGTCAGTGTGGTATGGACTTTATTTGCTTAAATACCTTCATTTGTAAAGTATGTCTCACTTGAAATTGCTTTGTATACATTTTGTAAAAATATTTATAAAATGTTTTGTAAAAAAAAAAGTATAACAAATTGCAGTTTATTTTGTTATGTTGGATAAATACTGTTAAAAGACACAAGTCAGTAAATATATTGTTAATCCATGGATAGGAAATGTTTAGTTGGAGATTACAAATTGAAACAACCATTGCAATACAGCCAAAGATTTGGGAAAAATGTCTATCTGTGATTGTCTTGATTTAACCAATTTGAGTATTTACATTACCAGAAGAAGATTCTTCTCAGTTTTAAGTAATATGACTGCAAGGTATTCTTCAATGCTTTTTCTATAGCAGCTGTATTACAGATTTTTAGTAGGCCTACTTTTCATGTTCTCTGTGTAACGTTCTGAGCATGGACTACGTAGACAGGGTTCGTGCAGCATCAGAGCACCACGTAGCAAGGCTGCTCTCCAAACACCCAGAGCAGCAGCGGTGCCGTGCTGCGGTCGCTAGGAATGGTGCCGTGACCTGGAGTCCTCTTCCCCACCACGTTCCCGTCCCCACCGAGGGGAGGCACCGTGTCTGGAGAGGCATGGAGCAGGTGAGCAGGGCCCCTGCTGTGGGTGAGGAGCAGCGGTTCCTTCGGGAGGCGTTTCACATGGATTCAGTGAGCAACAAGACCAATAAAAGCAGTTGTGTATTATTTAAATGTTTATTTGAATCAGGATGGCCAAATCACTTGGTTTTTTTTTTTTTTTTTTTTTTTTTTTTTTTTTTTTTTTTTTTTTTTTTTTTTTTTTTTTTTTTTTNTTTTTTTTTTTTTTTTTTTTTTTTTTTTTCCCCCTTCTTTTGCATATTGCCGTAGAATTACCAGGACAGCTTCTTTCTGGATTGTGAAAAACTTGATACAGCTTATTATGCAGCTGTCTTCTCTTTAGAATTTTCTTTTGCTACAAAAATATGGTGTATTTTTAGTTACCTTTTAGTAGCATTTTTATGAAGGGTCCTGTGTTTATTCCAACACTCGGGGCAGAATTTCTGAACATGTAGGCGTATGTGTCAATGTATGGCATTTTAAAGAAACTCCTAACCTGTTTGCTGGCGAGCATCCGTGCAAAGAAAAAATAATGCCCAAATAAGCTCAGCAAAGGAAAAGGTACCTAAGTAAATCAAAATGTTGGGGAAACTCTTCAGGAATTTATTTTAATTGATTTTGTTTTTCCCTTTAGGATTGTACTTCTTGTTTTGTTTTTTCTTGGACTTTTCACGATGAGGTCTTTTGTCAAACAGCTTCAGGCAATGCAAGTGACTGTCCCCAGGACGTGGGTCAGTTGGCATTTTGAAGAAGACCCTGGAGAAAATGAAGCAAGCAGCCCTGCAGATCTAAACATCCCGGGTACAGGGCACAGGCACAATGCAGTGCATGCGGATTGCGGAGTACCGTAGCGGTGGGTGAACTGAATTTCATGTCTATGATTTATGCATCAGTAGCTGTCTGTGCTGCTGCTCTTGCAGCTTGACACCTCTCTGGAAATGAGTAACAGGGTGTCCATAATAACTAGGTGAAATAGTAACCACCTAAGGCAAGCAAGCTTGCTGTACTGGGGCGGAGAGGGATGAAGATGGAGGGATGGTAAGTTATTATTGAAGCATCCTGTTGAACCAATATTTTTTATTAAAAAAATGCTGAATAAAGAAAACTTTTTTTTTAATAGAATTGAGACTGCACTCACAAACTTGTGGGGAATATGTATTTTTCAAATGGATAAATCAGGTCTCCCGTAGAATACAGAAAGTCAGCTTTACCCCATACATCAATTTTTTTTGTGGGTGAATGCCACTGTTTGTGGACATATTCAACTTCTGGAACGTCATATCTTGCCTTCATTGCTTTTGTACTGAGAAATGTCTTTGTCTTGTAAAAAGAGGTACAGTGAGACCTCCTCATTCGAGTTACGTTGTTGCAGGTAATGAAACCACAGCAATTTGTGCCACTCTAGAACCCAGCATTCCGAAAAGGAAGCAACATTCATGGTGATACGGCTAGACGGCTTGCACTGTTTCAGTTAGCTTGTATATCTTTATAGCATTACATATGTAGCAAAGGAGAGCTTTCCAAAATGAGGCTGAGCTCTTGGCTGTGTAAGCTGGTTATTGCCACGTATTTATCAGTATTGCAATTTGACAAGGTAGTGACATTTCATTTTAAGTTACCAAAACATTCTTGTCCTCATCTTGCTGCTCAGTCCCTGCACAGTGCTGAGGCAGGGCACACTGATAATGTATGTTGACCTAACTCTAGTGTTTCTTCCTAGAAATCTCCTTCTGAGATGTGGTAAATAGAGGGTAAGAAAGGACTTCAAGTAGTTAACCAGTGGATAAGCGTAAGCTGATGGAGTAGCCAGTTAAACGAGGGTAAAACCCTGATTGCTGTGATCAAAACTGAATTTGAAATTCAACAAGCAGTTAATTCTGAAATACACTGGGAGAAGACAAGGCTGAAATCATTAAAATAACACATGCTATTCCTGAGCTATGACAGCGAACACCTGGGCACCACCTTTGCAACTGGATTCTTCTGGTCTTCACGCTCTGAGAATTACTTCTGATATCCTCAAGGCCTACAGCTTTTTGAAAGTTTCAGATTACATATATACATATATATATATAAAAACCTGAATAATATTTCATACAAGAATCAAGAAATATGTCAAATATTTGTTACTATATATATTTATATATTTGAGATATTTTTTTCCCACTTACAGGTAAGAGAACACTGCCATACAGTGAAAAGCAAGTTTTGAATCTTAATTACAGCATATACTGTCTTAGGAAGTCTGTAGTAATTACTGTACAATTTCTGAGAATGTATCATGTTACTTTTGCTTAGTGGAAGGGCGCTTTTAACTCTGCCAGTCTTGTAGTTAAACCTGAAGTGTTTCCCAAGGAGTTGAGGACCTTTTAAAACTTGATTTCCACCACATTTGCTCTGTTAAAACTCCCATTGTGCTGGCTTGCTTTAAATTTGAAACCTGTGAGTAAATAAGCAACCTTGGATACCTCTGTTATTTCCCCTTTCATTTGTAAACCAAAACACAGGGAGTCTCTTTGCTGTTTGCAGGCTTGTTTTTAAAACTCTTCAAGGAAGATCAGCGTCTGTCTTAACCTGGCTAGCCTGGTGGAAAAGAAGTAATTTGCTAGCGGTGGGGAGACCTCAAGATTTGGTATTTATGTTACCTGCTGGGCTTGTTCAGACCTGCAGGTGCTGGGGAGCCTGACGGTGGCTCCTGTACGAGGGTCCCAGCAGTTAAATGCTACTGCAGGCAGGAGCTGCCTGTCCCTAGGGCTGAGACCAGTGCCGAGCAGGCTGGAAATACTAGAGCTGAATCTTGCTCTACTGATTTGTAGAGCAAATTCAAAGGCACTCTCTGACCTGGAGTACTATTTGTTTTGCATGTGGAGAGGAAGAGGGGAAGCAGCAGCAGAACTTCATTAAAGGTCTGTTGTTTTTCAGAATAGCCAAAACAAGGAGAATTTGGGGTTGGGATTTTGCTTGTTTCTTGCTTCCTCTCCGTTACTTACAAGACCGATGTAACTTTGGACTGATGAATTAGCCTAAAGTTTAAAAACAAATGTTTTTAAGTGGGCTGCATATATTTTGTTCCAAAAGTTTGTTCCAAAGGCAGTTCTGATGCTTGAGGACTTGGGCAATTAAATGTTTGGTTTCGCTTGTCTGCTGCCAATTATCCCCACATGCCCTTTGCAGGCTGTTCAAAGGGGCTCATGCCTTTCCATTTAGTTATTTGTTTCGCTGTGATGAATCTTTAATTCAAACCAAA